TGCTATTATCAATATCAATGTCATGCCTATCAGCATCATCAAATGTAATAACATTCACACAATAATAACCATATTCTTATCATCATCTACGAGTTATTACAATATGTAGAAAGAGAACATGTACTTTCTAAACAATATCAAATATTCCTTTGCACGTTTAATTTTTCATCAAATCAAATCCAACGACTAAATACACAACAAATTGAATGAAAACATAGTACGTATATGATCGCAACGAATCGTTCAAAAGCATACTAACCACTTCATTCTCATATCACCATTTCGTCTTAAAATACAAGCTACAAAAAATACCGCTCCCCTCCTCCTACCTAGATGCATGGATGAATAAATGGATGGGTGGATGAATCAATGAATGGATGGATGCATCAATACATGGGATAGATGGCATATAAATGATTCATAATCAGTGAGTTGAGATGATTTCAGTTTTTACCATTATTAAATAAATAAACAAATGAATGAATTTGAATTTTGTTGCCTCATCTAACATATATTATATACAAACACATTCATCATTATTACCATACTATTAGTACTCACTGAACACTTTTAATCCCTGCAGCGAAAATCACTTTTTTCTGTTGCATATTCAAAATATATATTTATATCTTCTATTAGAAAGACAAGTTCGGATCTTATTTCACAAATACAGATATGATCATATATCTGATCAATTCTTATCGCTTATAATCGAGCCAAAAGTTTGCACGACTGCCTCGTTCAAATTCATGAAAAAACCAATGACGACGATGAAGACGATGCTGAATTGATGTAGTGCTATTGATGGTTTGTTATGACACTAATTATTGTCATGTGCATTAATGGGATAAACACAAAACATTTTTTTGAGAGTACAGTGGTTCAGTTCAGATTTAGTTCAGTTTGAGTTAATGAAATTAAAATTAAGATTACGGTTGAAATCAACTCAATTCAAATAGAATGTTGGAGAAATGAGTTGTTTAGTGGAAAGGGGAAAATTTTGATAGATGAATCCATGAATGAACTAATACATGGCGAAAATGAAAACTTCGAAGAATGAAATGAGAATAAAAATTATTTACGTAAGTTAAAGTAAACTAAGAAAGCGAACTCTAGTAT